TAGTCGTCCAAAACAACCATATTAAAACAACATTGTTAGCCCATAAAAAAAAACATTGTAGTTGGCATATTTGATTAACAAATACAATCAACATTATATTTGAAAAGAACGTGTACAATTTTATTGGTTTAATGATGCTGACTATGAACTTGTCATGTTTAATATAAGAAAATAAATGAACGACGACTTTGAAAAAAAAATATATATACATAACTAATAGTGGGGGAAAAAATGGAAAACCGATCAACTTTGGATATTTAATACTTAACAATTCTCCCTTACCGACAACAACAAAAAAATAAAAAATTCTCCCATTAAATAAAGGAAATTTTTTTTTTTTGGTTGAAAAAATAAAAGGAAACTATACAAAAGAAGAAAAATGAATCAACCCTTAGACGCCTATAAAAATCAAACTCACAATAATCAAACAAAAACATTCTTTTTTTTCTTTTCGTCGAGAGAATGCCAACACTCAAAGCTCTTATAATTGGAAAAGTCAAAGACAAAGCTTCAATAAGCAAAGTCAGATTGTTTCATAGTTTCAGTTCCAAATCCGTCAGATACATTCACTTAGCCCTTTTGAAATCAACAACTCACACTTCTCACAAACCACCTAACTGCGACTATGTTTCGGCGGTCGTCTCTTACTCTAACAGCCCTTATGGTCCGGCAGCTTTCGCGGCGGTTCTATGGAGGTTACGTGTCACCAAGGACGCTTTAGTCGCCACCAAGACTCTCATCGTCTTTCATAAACTTATCAAATCATCAAGAGCCACGTTTGGAGGATTCGATCGTGATCGTTGTCAAAACAATCTAAAGCTGAATGATTTCAGTAACAAATCTTCTTATTTTACACTAGAGTTGTCTCAATGGGTTGGATGGTAATTTATTATTCTTTTTCCATTTTTTTTTATAACTGATCGTGATATTTATCTAAATATTTGGAAGTTTCATACCGACATTGATTATATAATCTCTTATTAATTTTTTTTTTGTTAAACAATTTAGGTATGCATCGTATTTGGATTGTCTCTCATGGATTTCGGAGGTATTAGGGTCTTTTCCAAATTTAAAGGAGAGCTCAAAAGAGAAAGCCAAAGAGAAAGATTGTGTATGGTCTTACCAAACCGCATATATTATGAGACAAACCGATTCCCTTGTGACTTTCTTTGAGCATATATGCACCAGACCGGAGATTCCCCCTCGGTTCCAAAACAAGATCGTGGATGAGATCAGAGAGCTCGTGATTCAAGACTACTTCACGGTTATTAGATTGGTTATGGTACGGCTTCAAGTGTTGAGTGAAAGATTGACTAAACCGGGTTTTGAACATGTTGGTGATTTCGGTTTGAACGATTTGAGTCCGGTTTTGGTAAGACTTGAAGAATGCAAAGAGAGTTTGAGTGGATTTTCCTGGTGTTGCAAACGTCTAGCGGAGGATTTTTGGTGTTTGGTTGAGAAATTAAAGGGTGAGACGGTTAAGGATGACGAAGAGATGGTTGAATTGTCCGGTTTGGTTCAGACCACGGTTGAGGACGATAAAGAGATGGTTGAATTGGCCGGTTCGTCTCAGAACAAATGGGTGACATTCGACGATTCTGAGATGGCAACAAATGAGGTGGTAAAATGGGATTCCAAATGGGTAACATTTGATGACTCCAAGGCGTTGAGCTTGTGCACATAACAATTTTTTTTAATTATTATGATTAGTTCCTTATCCATAAAGAAAAAGAAGTGATTCCATATATGTAAATAACATCTTAATAAACAAAATTGTGAAGTGAAAGTGTGCTTAATTCATTGTTCATGGAGAAATTCAACACACAATTATACTACACCGATCTACTTGTTGAAGATTTCATAATGATATATCATGTTTCACTAAACACAACCTAACTTTGTGGAATGAGTGCTCCAAATTTATTTTATTTTGCAATTGAATACAATCTTCAATTTCTTGCTTCCGAGCCGGACCACTTTTTAACACGCACGCTTGCTTTCTGTGCCTACAAATTTGAAATACGACAGAAACAATTGTATCAAAGACATGCATGAACTAAACCACATACGAGAATCATAAGCAACAAACTAAGTTGAAGTTACCTCTTTTGCCCAGTCACATCTCATAGTAATAAAAATCAGTATCAACGTCTGAATCGCGGTTCCGCCAAGTATCATACCAGCCCACACGCCCTATTGACATATATAAATAGACATACATAGAGATTAATTTACCTTTAAACATTGGCATAAAGTTAATAGAGAAAACTGGCTTTTACCTTAATACCCAAACTTGAAAACCCAACCCATAACAAATCCAAGTGGAACTTCAATGAAATAATAGCATCCTAAGTTTATGTATGCGACAAATGATTGCCAACCCGAACCAACCGCAACACCTAATCAAAAGTCAAAAAGTCAGCATACACAAAGTTTGTGTGGCGTACCGGATAGAACACTGTTGAGAAGAATGGTAAAGGCTAAAAGAATAGAGAGATCATTGACTGCTTCTACGACGGTTTCACTTGAAGAAAATATCCAACCGATTTGACCACGAAGAAATACAATGAGAACGGAGAAGGTTATTCCAATGATTAAGGATTGTGTTACTGATACGATCATTGCAAATCTTGCTCCTTTTCCGTTGCCTGCTCCTAATTCATTCGCCACTCGTACGCTACATAAATGATTGACTTTATAAACACATGAACTAGTATAACCAAATCTGTTGATCATGAGTTACAGTAATATATATAAACGAACCAAACAAAAATTTAAAGTATATAAAAGAGTGAGAGATTGGTTACCCGGTTGCGGCAAAGAAAGCAAAAGGAATCATCATCTCCAGAGCATCTATCGACATGCTGCCGATACAAATTGCAATTATATTTTTTTCAGCAAAAAGAAAATGTGATATATAGGAATGTGATATAAGAAACTTTTCACGTATAATAAATTTAATCTCCAAATTATATATGTATTTTTGACGTACCATATAGACAAAGAGTCGATAGCAATTTTTGCATCCTTCAGATTTCCAGTCATCACAATTAAGATCTTATAATACCAATTGTCCAAGCTGCAAGATTATTTTAACAAAAAGCAAAAAATCTACAGTAAAAAGTTGTGTTCCAGTCGGTAAAAAAAATGCGACACAAGTGATGATTAACGAATAGTACCAAATCATGATTCCGGAGGAGACAGAAAGCTTAACGTATTCCCATAGTCCAGTGAAAGCTTCGATTGAGAAACCGGGCCAAGTGATCGGACAACCGCCGCAAGTGATGTAAGTAAATAAGATGAAAACATTGAGCCACCATGACACGTTAATTGTAGCCATAGTCCCTATGACTCCCAGTTTAAGACCGTACACAAAAAGCCAGCTCACACATACGTGAACCGTAAGTGCCACTCCAGACGAAATTGCAACCACCTGGTGATGTAACAAGGGAATATTAACCAAAACACATTTAGCGATATTAAGAGTAAATTCGTTATGCTCTTGTCAAATGATATGTGCTTGTGACTGG